CCCCCCCCCCCCCCCCTTAAGGAAACCAGGGCGGCCAGCGGCCAGCCCGCCCCCGCCCACTCTCCCACCCACTCTCCCCTGAGGGCCATGGCCTGAGCTTTGAGAAGGACAGCCCTCTCTTCCATCCCCCACAGCCCAGCTCAGCACCCCACCCCACGGGGGCTGCAGAATCTTTGCCCCTAAAAGGCCCTTTGAGAGTCACTGAGTTCAGCATTTCTCAAATCAACGTGGCTCTCACAGGTCCCCAAGAATATGGATAGACCCCAGTGAGAACTGTTGTGCGCACCGGTGAATCCTCCTGACTCTGCCTGTCCTGAGAGCTCTCGGAGTTCATCAGCCCGGCTTGTCCTCTGCTTTACGCTGGCTCCTCCCTACCCTCAAGATCCCTCCCCTCGTCCTTCAAAATGCCGCCCACCTGTGCCTTCTCCAGAAAGTGGCTGCTGGCCCTGGTACTGCCGGAGCACACATGGTGCCCCCACTCGTGCTACCTGACTCACTATTTCTGTTCACGTGGGTCCCACCCCACCCCACACACACGCACACGCACGCACGCACGCACTCACACACGCACGCACACACGCACGCACTCACACACTCACACACACGCACACACGCACGCACACACACGCACGCACGCACTCACACACACTCACACACACACACTCGCCCTGCACCCCAGCATCAAGGGTCCCCAGCTGAGCACTGATTGATTCACTACCTGGCGCTGGGGGAACCCAGGGCTGCGGTCCTCTGTCCCCCTCCTGCCGCCTCTCTGTGGCCCAGGGACGTTTTGCACTCCTGCATACACAGAGCCCCATGGCAGGTAACAGGTGACAAGTTTACACGGGCACTGGGATGGGGGAAAGGGCAAGAAGCAGGTCTGGGTTCAGCAAGAGGAGGAGGCTCGTCCCACTCAAGCCATCCAAGGTGACAACGGCAGCTTGCATGAACCTCACGAGCCTGGGGAGTCCAGGCAGGGCCCTGCCTGGGAAGCTGGGAAAATGCTTCGTGTCCTGAGGCACCATGTGGGGCCCGCCAGCAGAATATGCCAGCGTTTGGGGGCGTGCTCTGGCCTCCTCCATGTCCCTCTGAGGCTGTGTCTAGGGCCCGTGCCACGCCTGTTCTCTCACCAGGGCAGTCTTCGTTCCATCACACCCTTCCTGACCACGTGCCCCACAGAAGCGTGAGGAAACTTTCTCAGGCTTGGGCAGGGGCTACAGTGGAGTCTGCAAAGGTGCCTGGGCCCCGAAGACAAGTCCCTGTCCCAGGACAGCTCTAGGAGGGACCGGGCTGCGGGCCTGGAAAGCCAGGTGCTGCTGGACATGGCCGTGTGCTCTCACCCTCATGGTCCACAGCCAGGAGGCCACAGGGGTGACATGGAGAGGAATGGCTGGAGCCGAGCCCAGGGAGTGTGACCCCGGCATGGTCAGCCAACACCTGTCTCTTCCCAGCACAGAGAGGTGCACGGTCAGGGTGGGCCCATCCTCACCATCTGGGGCCTGTGGCAAATGGGAGTCCACACACCATATGTCCAAAATATGAAAGATCTAAAAGAAGCTGAAGAACAGGGAAAATGAAATGTTATAGACAAATATACCATCAAGACCATGGGGAAACCCTGGTGTGAATTTAGACATGGATTCCTTGGCCCTGGCGCTGGGAGTAGGCTGCCCAGGGACAGCAGGGACGCCGTGCACGAGCTGACCCTCCTCTGCCCACCCAGCTCCATCCCGCGTGGCCCTGGCCTGTGTGTCCAGCTCCACCCCCACCCCCACCTAACATCTAGGGGTGGGCAGTGGGCAGCTGGGCCCACACTTCAAAATAGATGGAGAAGAGGCCCCTCGGGCTCCTAGGTCCCCAGAGGGGGACTGTTAAGGGGCTCAGGCCCCATGTGGACATCTCTGGAGCACAGGCCCAGGCATGGGGCCTGAGTGTCCAAGACAAAGATGGTTTTGTCGGGGCCGGTGGGGGAGGAAGGGTGTTCTGGGCACAAGGCCAGGTCAGGAGATGGTGTGAATGGCCCACGGGAGGGGCTGAGAGGACTGGAGCCCACATGGAGTGGAGGGGACGGGGGTGAGGGAGGCCTGGGAAGCGGGGTCGTCCAGAGAGTGGGAGCCACTGGAGGGGATGGAGGTGACCAGGACCGCAGCAAGACAACTGGAGCCCACATGGAGTGGAGGGGACGGGGGTGAGGGAGGCCTGGGAAGTGGGGTCGTCCAGAGAGTGGGAGCCACTGGAGGGGATGGAGGTGACCAGGACCGCAGCAAGACCCTGACAGCAGTGGGCAGCCCGCCCTGCACAGGCCCTTTCCTGCGCTCCCTTGCCATTCCACAGCCCGAGCCTGGCCTGGGGGTCGGGCGCGCAGTGATCTGGCCGTGGATGGCGCCCGTGCGTACCTCTGGCTCTGTGCGCACAAGGCCAGCAGCTCCAGCGCCCTGGCAGCTGACTGGGAGTGCAGAGGCTCAGGCTCTGCCTGTGCCTCCTAAGTCAGGGTCAGCATTTTGACCAGATCCCCAGGGGACGCATGTGCACACTGAAGATCAAGGAGCTGGCTTTCGGCCTGTGGTGCCTCTGTTTCCCCATTAAGATGGGTTTGGCACCTGCCGCCTGCCCTGGCACAAAGGAGAACATGAAGGGGCCTTGGCTGTGCAGGGGTCCCTGAGACCCCTGGGCAGGGATGTCACTCAGAGACCACCTTCTTCCTCCCGCCCAACTTGGGGCCTCTTGGCAACTGCAGGGAGGGGAAGGCCAGTGGCTCAGAACCAAGTGATGACAGAGAAGGGGACAGGGGGACCTTCTGTGAGCCCACTCAGAGACCACCTTCTTCCTCCCGCCCAACTTGGGGCCTCTTGGCAACTGCAGGGAGGGGGAGGCCAGTGGCTCAGAACCAAGTGATGACAGAGAAGGGGACAGGGGGACCTTCTGTGAGCCCCGGGGCCCCTGGGTGTGGGGCGGAAGGAGGCCTGGGTGGCATGAGTCAGGTTGCCCTGCTATCCCAAGCTCATCTTCCAGCTAAATTACCAGTGTGGCGCAGGTTGGGGGCCGGCCGTATAAAGGTGCCCTTGCACTCGCAGCACCGCAGTCACCGGTGGACACCCACGATGAGGTCCCTGCTGCTGCTGCTGCTCCTGGCTGCTCTGTGTGCCGCCCTGGGTAAGGCCGCTGGCTGCACCACAGGAGGGATGGGGAGGTGCCTGTCTGGGGCTTCAGGCCTGGATGGGTGCTGCAGGGAGTGAGGGGGCCTTCATGGCTCCTCTCTGACCAGCTGGACATGGAGACCCCTCCCCTTTGGGCACAGTTTCTGGTATCTTTCAGGCTCTTGTGGGAGTGCCCAGAGGCACAATGCCGCACTGGGACCTGCATTCCAGCTAGGGTGACCAACTGTCCCCCTTTCTCCAAGATAGTGGGGATTCCCAGGATGCAGGACTCTCAGTGGTAAAAAAAGAAAGTCCTGGGCAAGCCAGGATGAGTTGGTCATGCCCTCCCAGCCCGACTCTGCCCTGACCTTGATGACCTGGCTTTGGGGCCTGAAATGGGGCCGGGAGGGGGGTGATATAGCCTGTGATTATCAGCTGAATAATGATCATCTTGGGAATAATTAGCCCCCACAGCTTCCCCTGAGCGTGGGGTGGGGTGGAGGGGTGGAAGCAGGAGAGGAGGCTCCTTGGGGAGCAGTCCCAGCTTGACTGGGGCCCTCAGTAGGGAGGCTGGAAAGACAGGTAGAGGGGGCCCTAGATGGCTGCAGGGGACAGGGTGCAGGTCAAGGTTGGGCAGGGGCATCACTTATCAGAAGAGCAGAGAAAGGAGTGGGTGCGGGGCCTCACGCTGGGGCACCTGCTTAGGTCCTTCCAGCCCCAGTGTCAGGGGCAGCTGAGGGAGGGGAGGGCTTGGAAGGCTGAGTCAGGAGCTGCGGCCACCGGCCTGGGGTGCCTTCGTCCTTAGGGGCTTAGCTTTGCTGCGTGGTTGACCTGTAGACTGCTGACACTTGGACAGCACCTACTGGGAACTGGCCGTGGCCGCAAGGACCTAACAAGTGTCAGCCGTCAACTCTCATCACAGCCAAGGGCATAGGGACTATCAGGATCCCTATGGGGAAACAGCAGTAGGGTATGTCCTTGTCACAGTGACCTAGAAGTGTCTCCCTGGCTCCACCAGCACTGGGGACTTAATTGCAGACAGGGGGTCAGGAATAGCCAGGGGTCATCTGCAGACAAAGAGGCCTATTTCTCTTAGAAGTTTCCAGAACTCTGGCCTGGGAAACATGGCCCCAGAGCCCAGAAAGGGTGGGAGGGGTGTGAGGGTCTGAGCCTGGCCCTTTGCTGCCTGTGGTTCAGCTCCAAGAGCTCCCCACTCTCCACGTAGGGGCCAAAGGGCTTTGACACCAGCTGATCCGTGTGTGGAAGGTGCTATCAGCCTGTTCCACAGGCACCGGCTCTCTGGCCAAGGAGGTGTGCTCTGCCCGCGACACCCCTACTGGACAGCCCTCCCAGGGTAACCCCTACAGGACACCCCCTACAGAACAACCCTCCCAGAGGACCCCCTATAGGACACCCACTGCAGGATATCCCCTGCAGGGAACCCCCTACAGGACACCCCCTGCAGGGAACCCCTCCCAAGGCCTCCACCCTGAGCCTCGGCAAAAGATGCCTTTCCCAGCAGCAAAACCTCCAGGGCAGGGCATGGTGTTCCAGCTTCCCTGCCCCAGCACGCCCCGCACCGCTCTTCACATCCCATAAGCTAGCCTCGCCTCTGCCATGCTGCACCTCTCTCTGCCATGCTGCACCTCTCTCTGCCATGCTGCACCACTCTTCCTCAGTTCATCTGGGCCAGCCCCAGGTCTACCAGCTCCAGGAAGCCTTCCCAGGTCACCCCGCCCTCTGTCAAAACTGCATTCCCTCTTGGCCAGGTGCCTCCACAGAATGTCCATTGAACCTTTTGCTCTCTCCCGCTCGGGGTCACAACGCTCGGCCTTGCCCAGGCAGCCTGTGTGTTCTCGAGGGCAGCAGCCTTATCCCAGCTCTCCCCAATGCACAAAGGCCAGCCAGGGCCAGGGCATTCTGCTGCCGCCCGCCACTCGGCCTGGGTGGGGTCCCCAGCAGTCCTCAGGCAGATAGGGGGCCTTCCCTCTAACTAAACAGCCCATAAGCACCTACTGTGTGCAAAGCTCTCAGAGCCAAACCTTCCCTGGGTAAGGCAGGCCAGCTCCCTCCGGCTTCCAGACAGCCAGCCCAGCCCTGGAGCTCCTGCCGTCTTTCCCCGGTACAGGCACTTCCTGCATACCCCATCCAACCCTCCCCCAAGGCCAGCAACACAGGCTGTGATTATCTCCATCTTATAGCTGAGTACAGGGACAGTGAGGAGTAGAACCCAGGCCAGCCCTGAATTCAACCTTCCTGGTGTCACACGGCGCTGCCCCATCCCTTCCTCTGTCCACCATCCACCCCTCCATCCCTCTACTCATCCACTCACCCATCCATCTGTCCACCCACCCACACACTCACCTCTCCATACACTCCTCTATCCACACACCCACCCACACACACCCATCCATCCACCCATCCACCCACATAACCATACTCCTACCCATCCACCCATCCATCCATACACCCATCACCCATCCATCCACCCACCCACCCACACACCCATCTATCCACCCATCCACCCACATAACCATACACCTACCCATCCACCCATCCACCCATCCATCCACCCATCACCCATCCATCCACCCATCCAACCATCCATCCATCCACCCATCCAACCATCCATCCATCCACCCACATAACCATCCATCCATCCATCCACCCATCCAACCATCCATTCATCCACCCACCCATCCATCCATCCATCCACCCATCCATCCATCCATCCATCCACCCACAAATCCATCCACCCATCCATCACCCCTCCAACCACCCATCCATCCACCCACACACCCATCTATCCACCCATCCATCCACATAACCATACACCTACCCATCCACCCGTCCAACCACCCATTCATCCTCCCACATATCCATCCACCCACCCATCCACCCACACACACATCCATCCACCCATCCACCCATCCACCCATCCATCCACCCATCCACCCATTCACCCATCCATCCACCCATCCATCCACCCATCCACCCATCCATCCATCCATCCACCCATCCATCCACCCATCCATCCATCCACCCACATAACCATCCATCCATCCACCCACATAACCATCCATCCATCCATCCACCCATCCATCCATACACCCATCACCCACCCATCCATCCATCCACCCATCCATCCACCCACAAATCCATCCACCCATCCATCACCCCTCCAACCACCCATCCATCCACCCACACACCCATCTATCCACCCATCCACCCACATAACCATACACCTACCCATCCACCCATCCAAACATCCATTCATCCTCCCGCATATCCATCCACCCATCCATCCACCCACACACACATCCATCCACCCATCCACCCACATAACCATACACCCACCCATCCACCCATCCAACCATCCACCCATCCATTCATCCACCCCCATATCTATCCACCCATCCATCCATCGGTCCACCCACCCACCCACACATCCATTCAACCGTGCATCATTGCACCCTCCAGTTCATCCACCCACCCTCCCTTCATCCACCTGGTCTTTCCCTGGTTGAGCTTACATAGCTCCATTACATTCTTTAGGGTCCCCTGCCCCTCGCCAGAGGCAGTAGCAGGGGTCAGGAAGCAGAAGAGTGCATGAGCTCACAGGCACCAGAGAAGCGGGGAGGGCCATCAGCGAATCCAGCCCAGGGCAGCCTGCAGACTCCCCATACCTGCCTCTCACTCCTGCTAATAGCCGGTTCCTTACACACACACACAGGGCCACAGGGCACAGGGGGGAACATGTCAGAGTCACCACCACAAAGTCCCTGGCCCCTCAGCCCCATCCCAGAGGACCAGAGCCCTCCTGGAGGGAGGGAGGAAGAGGAGGCTCAGAGAGGGCCATCCTGGCCAGGCGGCCAGGCACTCAGCTCAGTCCCCAGCTCCCAGCCCAGACTGACGGGCCTGTGCTTCCTTCCCCCAGCCCAGGCCCTGCACTGCCACGTGTGCTGCGGCCATGAGAACTGCGAGTCTCTGGTGGAGTGTGCCCAGACTGACAAGTACTGTGTGATTACGCGGGCGAGTGAGTACCCAGGGCCACACACACCCAGCCCTGCCCCGCCAGCACCTGACAGAGGCCCTCCTGCCCTGTCTGAGCCCCTTCCCACCCTCCACACCCAGCCAGAAGCCCCAGTGCCCCCGGCCCAGCCAGGTCCAGACTCCAGGGGCCCCGCTGCCCTCCAGCAGGAACCCCAGTGCGGCCCATGACCCGCAGGCTGTCATGGCCTGCACTCACGTATTTATGCACGAGGAAGCCCCACAGCTCCCCAATAACATTCTCAGGACAAGGCCTAAAAGAAGCTTCAGCTTAATCTGGAGGGAGCCCATTTAAAGTTTTAGGAAGGGAGGCAGCAGACGCCATGTTTGTAGCCCTAGCGCCTTGGCCAGGGGTTGGTGGCATCGGCGGCCTCATCTCCACATCTCCCTAGTGCCCTGTCTCAAGCTCGGCTGCAGCTGGCCAGCCATGACCTCGTCCCTGGATGCCTTTCACTGAGCCTGGGGCTCTGCCCTGTCCACATCACAGTGGACCACCTCGCCCAGAAGGTTCCTTGACCTGACCAGCGCCCTCCCCAGGACAGACCCTCTCCTTCTTCTGTCCTCTGTGGCCCCCTCTGCAGATCTGGTTCTTCCCTGAGCCTTGCAGGTTGAGCAGGAGCCCAGAGCTCAGCGTAGGGTGAAATGTGACAGTGACAAGCAGGCTGGGGACTCAGGCAGAGTGCCGAAGGAGCCCAGGGGAGAAGGCTTCACACAATGACCCGAGGGGGTGTGAAGCCTGACAGCGCTGCAGAGGGCGAGGAGGGGCAGTGGGACAAGGTGGGACCTGAAGGAGGGGCAGCCCTGCCCCTGAGAGGGGAGGAGGCACAGGAGATGGTGGAGGGGCAGGCCTTGGATGGCTGTATAGCTGTCAGCCTCGGTGTCCACGTCTGGGAGGGGATGAGGGATCCTGTCCCCTGTGGGTTGCTGCCACCCCTAGGGTCGTGTCAGGCAGTTCACTATTGGTCCTGGGGGAACTATCCTCTGAGCCAATTTCCTACCAGTACCGGTGATGACAAAGGCCCCTCCAACTTGGACTCGGAGCCACCCCATTTTATAGAGAGACACAGGGCCTGCCCAGGGCCCCTCGAGTGCATGGCAGGGCTGGGACCTGCGCCGGGGTCTGTCGCCCACACTCTGCCCCTTCCCACCCCCGGCTGGCCCTCAGCCTGCTCTCAACCCGGGGGCTGTGCAAGGGAGCTGCACACGCCCCTTAAATGCCTCTGGAACCCTCCGTTGTGGGACAGAGACGAGCCCTGCCCAGAGACCAGCTCTGTCACCCTTGGGGGCCAGGAGATGCCCCCACCTCGCTCTGACCACCCAGATGCTAGGACGGCACAGCAGGGGCCACCTGTCCCTCCACTTGCCCAGCCACTGTCCACCGAGCACCCAGCATGTGCCTCTGTAGCCAGTGCAGGGCAGGAACAGGGACGACAAGGCCCTTGCCCTGTGGGGGCCACTGAGGGAGCTGGCCAGAAATCACCAACTACAGGGCAGAGAGTCCTGGAGAGCCAAAGACAGAAGGGCCGGGGGCTCTTCTCCCCTGTTGTCCCCAGCATGCCCAGGACACCTGGGCTCCCCTTACCCATAGCCTTGGTTCCTACACCTTGGACAGGGCCAGGCACCCTTGGGGGCTTCTCTCATCCCCCAGGCCTGCCACCTGTCCCCACCCCTTGCTGTGCATGCATCTGCCTATCTATTTGTCCGGCCAGGCCGCCCTTCCTGAGCGACTGCGGATGTGGGGACACAGAGGTGCACGGGGCTATCTGTTGTCCAGAGCCTCAGAGCTCACAGGAGAGCCTGTGGTAATGGGGTGTCAGAGGCTGACAGGTGGGGAGGGTGTGCTCGTTGGGGGGGACAGTGTGAGCAGGAGTGTCCTGGAGCAGCCACAGGGGGACCAGGGGGATGAGAGCCTCTGGCAGGCATGAGTGGATGGAGGCTCCCTGCGCCCACCTGCAGCAGCTCCAGCAGGAGCAGGTGGCTTCCCATCCCCCTGTGGGGAGGGTGTGCTCGTTGGGGGGGACAGTGTGAGCAGGAGTGTCCTGGAGCAGCCACAGAGGGACCAGGGGGATGAGAGTCTCTGGCAGGCATGAGTGAATGGAGGCTCCCTGCGCCCACCTGCAGCAGCTCCAGCAGGAGCAGGTGGCTTCCCATCCCCCGAGGTGGGGGCAGAGAGGGGAAGGGGGTGCGATAGCAACGGCTGAGCGCCAGGCCCCGCAGGGTTCTGTCCATTTCTGGTCCCATCCTCCAACAGCCCTGGCTGCATGTCCCCACTTCTAGGTGGGGAAATGAGCTCAGAGCCCACCCGGCCAGGACGTGGCCAAGCTCCAGTGCGAGCCCAGGGCCTTCCCTCTCCAAGCCCCCGGCCTGTGACGGGTGGCCCTGCCCATCCCAGGTCTCTTCACAATTACTCAGAAAGGGGTCAGCAAATGCAGCCTCTATTCCATTTTTTCCTTAAAAACAAAGCCAGTTAGCATTTGCTGGCCAAATGGGGGCAAGATGTGGACAAACACTGTCTGGTGTCCTGCCCAGCACTGCCTCCAGGCTCGGGAGCAGGGTGTGTCCCAGAGGCGGCTGTCTTCAGTCCAGCAGCAGCTCCAACCATACGGACCTGTGGCTCTGTCCCTCACCAAGGTCCAGAAAGGGCTGCTCGGGGTGTCAGCCACACTCTCCTCTAGCTGCTCGCTGCAGGAGTCCGCTGTGCACAGACCCTGCTCTCAGTGCTTCCTGCGAATTCAGACATTTGACCCCAAAACAGTGGCAGAGGGTGGCTCTGTTACTGTCCACATTTGGCAGACGAGGAAACTGAGGCACAGAGAGATCAAGCACCTCAAGATAGAGCCCTCCCACCCCAATCCCAAGGTCTCTGAGCCAGCTGCCAACAAGAGGCCCCTTCGTTCAGGGTTACAGCTTCCAGAACCTTCTAAACAGTGCAGAATACAGGAAGAAACTTGCCTTAACCAAGGGCTGTGTGGTTCCGACCGATTCTAAGGAGCCTGCACCGTCATCTCAGGGGCCCTATCTACCCACACAGGAAGTGGTGCTGTCCCTAAACCCGCTCATCCCTGCTTGTTCCCAGGGCCCCGGCAAGGCCCTGGCTCCACTGCTTTACGGGCCGTGGGGTCCCACCCGGGTCCCACCCTCCCTCCCCACCATCTCACAGGACTTTCCAGTCTCGAGGGCACCAGGGCTGAAAGTGGGCACCTGGGCCTATCCTCTGGCCCCTGAAACTCAGAGGCAAAGAGCCCCTGAGAGGGAGGGGAAGGGAGTGGGGTGACTGAGAGACTGGGGGAGGGAGGAGCTGGCGAGCCACCGTGGCCCCAGATGTCACAGGGGAGCCTGGTCTGAGGGGGAGGCAGATCCCCATAGGCACCCAGAAAGGACCCTCACCCACGGCAGAAGGCTCTTTGGGACCAGCCTCAAGCTGCCACCTCAAGCCCGTGCAGGCAATGGAGCTCCCAGGACCCCCAAAGCAGGCTGTGCCCCTTGCACGGACAGCCCCAGGCTGCAGGGTCTCCCTGAGGGCTGCGGACGGGGCGGGGGGCACAGTGCAGGATGCGCAGCTCCCATGGACCTCCTCCTCTCTCCTCAGCCAACCCCGGTGGCATCCTCGTCATGAAGTCCTGTGCCCCAACCTGCCCCAACAGCACCGTGTCCTCGGATGGCCGTGCCCTCTCTGTCTCCTGCTGCCAGGGCAGCCACTGCAACCGCAGCGCGGCCTCGGGCGTGGCGGGCAGCCGTGGCACCCTGTGGGCCAGTGCCTGTGCCAGCCTGCTGTGGGCACTGCTCCGGGCGGCCTGGTGAGGGCCCAGCCCTTGGTCTCTCCTGTGACTCTCAACATGGCGTCAGTCTGCAGCCTGAACAGCTCCCCGCACGCCCCACCCTGGCGGCGAGGGGTCCCATCTCCGTCGTCATTCCCCAGCCCTCGGCGAGACCCTCCCCACTTCGCCCAGGCCACACCCAGCCCCCTCCCCAGCGACGAAAGCTCTACCCCTGCTTCAGGGAACTGCCCGATGGGGACGCCCTCCCCCAAGACCTACACCTCCAGGAGACTCTCAGTCCTTGCGGGATCCTGGGGACCCCCGGCCGTCCGGAAGTGGGAAGAGACCCCCAGTTCTCCCCAGTGCCCTCTACTCCCATTTCAGGGGCTGGGGGCTCTTCTTCCATCAGGCTCTGCCTGGCAGGACCCCTGTGCATGTGGTCATCGGGCCCCTTGGGCCCTCTCCTGTGCCCAGAGTGGTCCGTGCAGGGAAGGCACAGCCCAAGGGCTTGGGCAGGGGATCCCTCCAGCTCTCTGTCCATTGCCCAGCCACCCTGTCCTCGCTGCATGTGCCCACCAGCCGCCCATCCATTCGCCCGTCGCTCTCTCGTGCTCACTCACTGCCCTCATCCTGCACTCATCCACCGCGAGCCCGCCCGGGTGTCCTCAGAGCCTGCCCCGGCCTCAGCCCGCTGGCTGGTGCTCCTAGCCCGGGGACCCTCCAGCCCCATCCAGGTGAACACAGGCCTTACCAATAGTCCCCTGGCTGCCCACTTGGGGGTGGACAGGTCTCCTTGGGGCTCGTTGTCAGGCATTGGAACTGGGGCATCATTCTCATGGGCATGGGGGGACTGTCTCACCTCCCCCAGACTGTCATGACAGTAGAATAAAATGTGAGATCTTCTCAGTCCTCATTTCCAAGGTGTCAAGTCTGGGGGTCTCTTGTCCCTGGTGAACCTCACTCTTGGGGAGGGGAAGGGCCCCTGCACCCAGGAGGTAGGCAGGGCTCTTTAGAGGGGTGGGTAGGGATTCCCGATGCGCAAGCTCAGGCGGGGAGAAGTGCGCTTGACTTGTTACCTAAGAATCCCATATCTAGGTGGAACCCCCCTTGGTCAGGGTGGGGGGTCACATCTGGGGAGGCTGTCTGAGCCTTGGGGCCCCCGTCTATGCTGCCCCCCTGACCACATCCTGTGTGGCCTCAGTCTCCAGCCCTGCAGGGAGTCCCCACGGTCCTGTGTCCCTGCTGGGGGCACAGACTCCTCCAGCCACTCTGGACGGGCACTGGAAGCTCTGAGGTCTCCCAAGGCCATGGCTCCTGCCAGGGCTCTTCTGGGTGGCAAGGCCAGAGCCCGTAGCCTTGGAGGAGTTTTGCTCCCCAGCCACTGTCCCGGGCTTGGTTCCTGGGGGTGGGGGCACCGGCCCTTCCTCACCCAGGCCCTGGAGCCCACATCCTCTTGGGGTTTCCCTGCTGCTGGGCCTGTGGGACCCTGCCCTGGCCCACAAGCCTCCTCCCCATCCAGGCTGAGTCCTTGCCATGCTGTCCTGCCCTTTCAGAGGCCAGAAGCCAGAAGAGGTGTCCTCCCCTCCCCCTACCTCTTCATCCCTCACATCCCGGTGGGCACCGGCCTCTGTTCTGGGAGCACAAGCAGATGCTCCTCCTGCATCCCTGCGAGGCGGGGCTTCCCCACAGCCTCCTCTCTAGCCTCATGGGGCCGCAGTGCCCACGACGTGCTGAGACTCCAGTCCCCCCGCATCCCTGCGAGATGGGGTTTCCCCCCAGCCTCCTCTCTAGCCTCATGGGGCCGCAGTGCCCACGACGTGCTGAGACTCCAGTCCCCCTGCCCTGTATGCCCCAAGATCTCCGCCAGGCCTGCGGTTGGTCTCCTGAGCCGGCGCCTGTGCCGTGGCAGCCGTTGTGTGGGGAGCACTGTGCTCTGGGCTTGGCCTGAGGGAGGGGGCTCCTGCCGCCCCCCCTCCCCCGTGGCCACACCTTGAGCTGTCTGAAGGACAGTGAAGGACAAGGCGGCTGCTGCCAGGATTCCCACAGGGCCCCTCCAAGCCTGGAGCACAACCTCCCCTCCTGGGCATGGTGTGGCCCGCCGGGCTCCAGGAACCCAATGGGAGGCTGGTATGGGGTCTGTGGGGTCAGCCATGCCTGCAGCATAGTTGGGGTTTTCTTTTCTTAAGGAAGGTGGGAGTGGCTGGGCATGGTGTGGCCCGCCGGGCTCCAGGAATCCAATGGGAGGCTGGTATGGGGTCCGTGGGGTCAGCCATGCCTGCAGCATAGTTGGGGTTTTCTTTTCTTAAGGAAGGTGGGAGTGGGAATCCTGACTCTCCCATCTGAGGGGCCTTGCCAGGCAGCCCGGCACAGAAGGGGCCTCACCCTTTAGGGCAGGCCCCTCTCCAGCAAGTCCCAGTGGAAACCTCAGCAGACAGCTGTGGCCTCCGCCTCCCAGGCCTCTGCGCTCAGGAGTCAGGGCCGGGCACACAGTAGTATCCTCCAGCTGCAGAGGACCAAGGCACAAAGAGCTTTCTGGAACCCCCACCCCACAGCTCCCGGGTGCAGTGTGCCCCCTCTGATTCCCTATAGTCATTAAATCAATAGACCCTCAGAAAGCATCCCCTGCAAGCACGCCTGGTCCGGGCTGTTGGAAACCAGAGCGACAAACATAGTCCCTGCCAGGCAACAGCGAGCAGAATGGCAAATGCCCCCGGGCCGCAGGCTTGGGGAGAGGGTGTGGTTGAGACACGGGAAGACACCAGCATCTCCCACGGTGGGGACAGCACATGCAAAGGCCCGGAGGCAGGAGAGGGCTCAAGGGCCTGTGAGGAGACTCAGGCGGTGGCAACAAGGACCGCGTGGCCATGCCGAGAGGGGCAGCAGGCACGGCCAGCCTGGGCAGGGCCCACGGGCAGAACGGGAGGCTGGGGTCACTCCTACGAGCACGGGCAGCCTCTCAGGGGTGGCAAGGGAGGGGCTCGAGTCTGCTCCTCCCCCTGGGGAAAGGAGCGGGGAACAGAGGAAGAATTGTTCCCACTGGGCGGGGGTACGCAGCCGGAGAAGTTCTGGAATGAAGGTGGGGCCTTCCTTTCCCTCACCTTTCATGCCAACCCGGCTCCATCTGACCTGCGGTCACAGTCAGGGCCACTCCTCTGTCCTGGTCCCCAAGGACCCGCCCATACCCCCGTCTTACGCAATGCCAGGGGCTGAGATGATGTGTTTCTTGATCCTTTAAGCTCTCGTGACTGTGGTGAAGAGCTCCTGGCAGGGCCCGGCTTGGGACCCACCTCCCTCCCCTGGGGCCTGTCCCCACACCCGGAGAGGATGGCAACAACACGCAAACCTCCTGGGTGGACACCCCACCCCAGTCCCTGCCCAGGCACAAGCAGCAGAGTGGGACCCAGGGCCCCCAGGTTGAGCAGAGAGTGGCCAAGCTGGGCTGCCCCAGCCTTGAAGCCCCACAGCCGCCCCAGACCAGGAGAAGCAGGCCAGGCCCCCTCCCCTCTGGGTTGTGTGTGGACAGCTCCTGCCCACCGCGTGAGAGGCATAGCGCCCACGACAGACAGGCTGGCAGGGCGCACACTGTATTTAAGACGTTTCCTTTGAAGGGCTGGGATCAGTGATGTCCTCCCAAAGTCCCCTCCCGTCCCCCAAGTCATTATATAACCTTTGAAAAGAGCTTGTCTGCAGGCCCCGTGTGCAAGTCTGGAGGTGCCACTGACCACCTGAAGACTCCAGAGTCCCCGAGCCCCCACCAGGGTCCACTCCATGGTCTCAGAATTGCCGTCTTCTCTTGTTGGGGGCAATGTGTGTGAATGAGGAGAGAAAAGGGGAGGAGAGACAGAGATATCAGTGTAACTGCCACCCACAGGACACATGGGTGGTGTGAGGGCAGTGCCCACCGGTGGGGATGGCTAGCTGGGGACAGGCCCTGGAGGGACAAAGCCACTGCAGACCACCAAGTAACCCTTGCCTGGAAGTGCTGAAGGCCACCATGTCCACAATCCTGCTGGGACCTCCACTGGGAGCTGGTCTTCACTGACTCACAGGGGAGGCGGTCCCGGATGTGGGGTAGGAACTCCCAGAGGGCAAGGGTCACAGTGAGCATGAGAAGACAAAGACCCATCCACAAGTGGACTCTCTGTAAGGATGCGGTCAACATCTGGGAATTTTTCTTTATGGCTGGGCAAAGTCACACTGTGCCAGCAGCTCTTAATTCATCCTGCATCTCCCCCAGGTTGTCAACAAGGTCCACCCTTCCAGTATCACCCCATCACACATAGCCCTGCCGTCACTCCATCTCCCTGCCCTGATCTACTGTCTTCATAGGCTCTGTCCACACCTGATCTCTCAGAACGTATTTTGTTGTCTTTACTGATGGTGCCCTAAGAAAGTGAGCTCTGTGAGGGCAGGAATGTGCCTTGTTCACATCTGTGTACCAGCATGTGATCCAGCATGGTCCCTGGCACACAGGTGGTGCTCTTCAGCAATAATTATTGGAAGGATGGATGGATGGATGATGGATGGATGGATGGATGGATGGATGGATGGATGGATGGATGGATGGATGGATGATGGGTGGATGATGGGTGGATGGATGATGAGTGGATGATGGGTAGATGGATGGATGATGGGTGGATGGATGGATGGATGATGGATGGATGGATGGATGGATGGATGGATGGATGGATGGATGATGGGTGGATGATGGGTGGATGATGGGTGGATGGATGATGGGTGGATGATGGGTGGATGGATGATGGGTGGATGATGGGTAGATGGATGGATGATGGGTGGATGGATGGATGGATGATGGGTGGATGGATGGATGGATGGATGGAGGGAGGGAGGGAGGGATTAGTGGGTGGATGGATAAATGAGTTGGGTGAGTGTCAGGAGCAAGTGGAGGCAGGCGAGTGAGGAAGGAAAGTGAGGAAGTCCCTGTGTTCACCGTCCCAGAACTTGCCCCACGGAGCTCAAGTGTTGGCAGGCACAAGCTCCAGACTACAACGGGAAGTAGAGTGAGCTGTGACACAGCAAAGA